ATTCAAGTTTAGAGTTGATAAATGTTTTACTATAAATTAACTATTTTCTTCTTCATACTCCTGTTGATATATGAAGGAAAATTTACTTCATAACTTGTTTCACTATAATTGACAACAATGCAATCTTCTTAAATATTCTTATTTAATTATTTTCCAATATCATTTGACATTCAGGCTCTTATTTAAATATTTGAATTTAAGGTAAGATAATATCTAGACTAAGTAAAAATGTTGATTATTACTTTTTTATTTGTAAAAGGTGAGAAAGAAAAAAATTCAGCAAAGTTATGTTAATAAATTTCTGGAAATTGTACAAAGCATTAGAGTTTCTCGTCCTTGATTGTTGTTACTAGGTTCAAGGTACTGTTAGATGTGTGGTTTAAACCTTTTTGACGAAACTTTGTACAGAATAGAGAAGAAGAAGTCATTGCAGCATTGTGCACAATAAATTCTTTTTAATAAAGTAAAGTATGTGTGACTGAGTTCTACTCTCTGGCGTTCGGTAAATAGAGAAAATAAGCTGAATATCCATGTAATGTATGGTAGAACAAAAGTAGTGAAGAGAACACGTTTTAACTTGGTGGAGGAAGTGCTACTATTGATAAATGAGTTTATCAGAGCTGTTCGTTGACGAGTTACTAAACGTGTTTTTTTGATGACATTAAGTGTTTCTTCTATTTTCATATTATTCTTATTAATATAAAAAATAAAAGAAAACAATTATTTTATATTAAATATCTTCTACTAAAATTTTATCATAATAGTTACTTTTGCTTTTCTCTCTTCATAAATATTTTTGTTGAAAAGAAAAATTTTCAAAATATAAATACTCATAATTGAGTAAATTGTTTCTATGTAACATTGTATAAAAAAACATATTTGTCAGAATTCATACTTATTTTAGTAAGAGTGACGTCAAATTATTTAGCGCAAGTAAAAAAATAGTATCACAGAATTTGATAAACACATGATTTCCTTCATTAAATCAACGGAAATAAAAGGTAAACGTTTAACATGTATTTCCGCTAAATAATAATTTCACTAGAATAATTATTACTAAAAAAATCATTTTATTCTTTTACATAAAATCTAATGCATCTATTTAAAATAATTATTTTAATAAGTTCTTTATGGAATATATCAAATGGAAATTATCGAATATATGAAACAATACCTAAAAATAACTCGACAGTTTTTGATTGTTTATACAATTTAATAATAAATGGTGATGAACTCCTTCAGTTGGAAATGGATGTACATATTGATAGTATTCCGTATTGTCGACAATCGTCAATAAAAAATAATGATAATCCGTTACCTAATAATACTGAACAATGGACCTTTGATCAACTTCGTCAAATGAATATTTCATTCAACCAATTATACGATTGGTATGTCCCATTAGATATTATTGAAGAATATTTATTAGAGCAATCAAATGGAATAATTGTTAATTGTTCAAACAAAAATAATTATTGGTTTGGAAATCGTTGTCAATATACATTAGATTCTTATGCTGAATTGAAAGATATCTTATGGGATCGATTTGACGCTAAACATTATATGGAAGATCATTTATTAACAATTACCAATGGAACATGTTATTTAGTACCTAATGATCAATGTCAATCAATTTTATGTTTAGATTGGAGAGAAATTTGTGATGGTAAATTAATTTCAAAGATTCTCCCATTTTTACTACATTCATATCTATCGACTTCGACAAAATAATTTCACTGCGAAGCTTTTATTTGAAGAGGACTTCTAATTCTCTTAATACCAGAATTAATCATGAAGCATCTGTTCGGACAAAAACTTGTTCTTGTTTAGATCTATATAACAAGAAAAACACATGTCGATCATATGTAAAATCAGTGAAAAGTACCTTTTATATTTTGTGTTCTCGAAAGGATACAAATATCTTGTATATATGTGAAAGAGAACATGGAATGACGTATACCATTCTGTTGCGATATTATATAGGATGTTTCATGGATAATATAAAAGCATTATTCTCTTTCTCATAGAGAAGAGTCTTGTAAGAATAAATTGTTTGTTTACTTCAAAAATTAGGTAGAGATATAAAAGGAATTTTTTATAAGGGTTAACCGAAGATTAGTCGGAGTCAAAGAATTCAAATGTGACTTCTGTGTTGTTTAATTATATAAATTAATAGCTTAGTAGTTAATAGAAGATAATTCTTAAGAACTGAAGAATTAACTAATATAACCAAGTTTTGTTTTTATGTATGGAAAGTCATATTTATATTTTAAATAAGGAGATTTCAGTGGATCCATTCTACGATGAAAACTAAAATTTGATCTAACTTTGAAAAAGATAATTCTATTTCTTCATTTTTATTTTTAGGAAAAATTGATTGTACAAATGGATTTGATGAATATCATTGTCATTTACTTGAAATGAATGAATGTGACGAAATAAATGAATTTCGTTGTTTAAATGGTCAATGCATTGATAAAACATTTTATAGAGATCAATATACTGATTGTATGGATTATAGCGATGAACGATTAAACAATATAGACAGTTGCTTTTATACATCTTATACTGGTTGTGAAGATCATTTATGTCCTAATATGTGGTTTTCTTGCGGTGATGGATCTTGCTATGATGGGCCGATAAACTTAGATACAACACTTTGTAGATCTAAAAGAGATTATCTTTATTTTCAAAAAATGTCATCATCATCATCAACATTAATATTATTTTCTCATATGCATATTATTTACAAAGATATGAAACCAGAAAGAATCTGTTATAATCAATCGTTATGTCCGTATTTATTTAATACAATCCATTTCGGAATAATGACAACATCATTAAATGGTTTAACATGTCAATTATTAGATAATAAGATATCAGATGTAAAACGATTTGTTCAATCATGTTCATTATTACCTTCAGAACATCAA